ACGATACTCCTTCTTTACATCTTAAAGAATTTCATATACACAACCCTAGACTATCCAAGCACTATATACCTTTTATGAACCTTGTTGAATACCCTATAGCCTATAGCCTGTACAATACGTTACAGAATATTTTCTATAATACAATTTTTCGTTTATGCTTATGCCTTGTACCATCCTTTATACAACGCCTTATGCAGTTCCCACAATGCCGTATGGAGTTTCCTATGGAATACTTAATACGCTATACTATTCCCTTTATAGGCCTTATAGAATGCCATTTCCCTCACGCATGGAGTCTCAGAGAACCACCGGACTTCATCCACATGCCACAATGACTGACACGGGTCTGCGGTACGCGCCCTTAAAACTCACCGTCATCCTCATGACCGACATCACCATCTTCTTCCTCAACACCATCATAATCATCGTCTTCGCGGCATCGTCATCTCCGTCACGATCATTGTGCCATCGTTTGTCTCCATCCCCGATCACCCGATGTCAAGACACCACCTTGTCGTTGTCTTTTTCGTTTCAGAAGTCGTCGTGCTTGATTGTATTCGTATATTCCTCCCTCTGTAAGTTTATTTTTTGTGTCCATCACCCGTGTACCATACGCCATACGCATAGAGAGACATACATGAGGGTTCACACATATTGCATGTACATGGTATTGTAGGTGATGTGGGAACCGAGGGCTTTCAGGCAATGTGTGGAATGGAACGGCTCTTTCGGATTGTTTGAGTCCTATTTGAGGGGGTTCTTTCCGAATAATGCCAAAAGGCGCGGATCTTTGGAGGGGGGGGAAGCATATATATATATATATAGCACTATAGGTATGTGTATTTATACGTATGCATGTGTGTGTATATATATATATATATATACGTATGTGTGTGTGTGTGTGTGTGCGTTTATATGTGTACGTATGTATGTATGTGTATAGATACATATGTTTGTATATGTTTATGCAGGTCGGTCTGTACATACATATATATATATATATGTATTGGACTTGAATCCCCTTGTGAGAAAATGATGAGTGAATGTGTTAATGGGTTCTGAATGGGTGGTGGCTACAGCCTACTCCCAAGTCAAGTCCTTTAGGCCAGAACGATTGGCTGTATTACTGGATCAATGGGTTTACGGGTTAATGGGTTGTGGCTACAGCCTACTCCCAAGTCCATTTGGTCAAATTTGTGGGTGAATGTGTTCAGCTCTATATATATATATATCTGCTCAGGCATTTGGCCTTACGAGTTTGAGAGCAGACAGCAAAGCATGTTGATGCTTAGTTAGGATCTTCAGCAGCCCAAGCTCCGAACAGTCGCAAAGCCAGTAGGGTCCTCGCTTATATGACATTTTACAATGTTGTATCATTCAATGTTATACTCTATGGCAGACTGTTTATGAGTGTTTGATACACTGTACAATTCCAGACTGTATTTATATTTTCTTGCATGTGTCGGAGCATGAGCAAAGCAAGGCGTCGGTGCTTACTTCGGTTCATCAAGATACCCGAAGCAAAAAAGCCAGCATGACCCTTAGGTCCTGTTATTTTATGCGGTGCCATACTGTCTCAGCTTAGATTGCAATTTTTTGAGGTCTCTTCTCCTCTATCCTACTCCTGGTATATGATGTTACAACTGAATTCACCCTGCTATACAAGACTACACAGGATGACTAGACTTGTAGACTATGCTATCGACTACACTGTCCACTATCTTACAGACTCTCCGAAAAATATTTGCACTGTGGACTGTAGTACCAGCTAAACCATATACTATACTGTATACATTACTACATGCTACTACGTACTCTGCTGTATAATATACTTTACTACATGTTATCCTTCGTATTCTACTCAACCAACACTATATACCACTCTATAGCATGCTACAGACAATACTAAGAAACCGTATTTGTTCTAGACTACATACTATGCTCTGCTTTGGACTATATACTATACTTTTTATTATGCTGTATACAAGTCTATATGCTACAACAAGGTATACTAAACAATGCTCTACTCTAGTCTACGACATTACGCTACTGTGATATATGGATTCTGATACATATTACGTGCTGCTCCACTATATGATATTTCAAGCATGCTTTTCCGTTACTTATGGACTTGTCAACTTTGGCATGTGTTGATGTTCACCATGCAGTATTTTATATACTTTAACTTTTCTACTGTATTAGATAACACAGCACATGAAAGTGCATGTGAACAAAAGAACCGTTTATATCATCTTCTCCAATGTCATATCATTTTGCTTTATGGGATGTTTTAATATCTTGACTTTCATGTTTTCGATTTCAGTTCTTATACCAGAGTAAAGCACAGTGTACCATGCCATATTGTATCTGATGATATTCGACTGTATTATATGTCGTGATCGAATATACATGCAGTTGTACATTGATTGTTCTGTCTTTTCATCTGATCTTACACATGAAAATCCACGCTATACCACGTCATGCAAAAGCATAACGTATTGGGGCATACTGGGTTTATTTTTCATGGAGTATTAAATAGGAGGACATGCGACGCTGTATCAATTGACAACCTACTTCGTCCCATAATGTCATTTTACAAAGCTATATCTCCGAAGTAACGCAACATACTGTCCTATGAAGTTCTAGAAATGTTGTAGTGTAAAGCCATATATCATGTTAGTTGACCTTGTCTCATGTTTCCTTGTTTCATTATGTACACTATACACTTTCCGTAGTATGTTAAGTCTTGTACGTTTTATTGTACACCGTGTATGTATTGTTTATTGTGTTTAAGTATACGTACAGCAATTTTTGATATTGCCGGTGTTAGGATTCTGCCCTGTCTTACCTAATCTTGTTTCGTCTTATCACATCCTAATCGTTTTCTGTGTCATATCAACCCCTTTTCCCCTTTAAGTCTTATATCACATTGTGTTTGTTATGTTGGTGTGTTACATCATCTCTGTATGTTTGTACATAAGTGTCTAGTATTACTCATTACTGTAGCTTCTGCACAAATGTGCATTCCTTGATAGCAAGTTGGAATTCCCCAGTGCCTTGCCACCAACTGCGGTCTAGAGATTGTGGTTCTACAGGTCCGCATTTCATCGGCGCAGTGAGGAACATGCTAAAACGCAGGGGTTGGGGGAATCCACGCGCCTTTACATGTACATATACATGAATAAATACATATATATGTGTATACACATACATATTGTTCGCACTACTTTGGGTTTTGATCTTTACTATGACGATAATTGTGATTGTTGTCGTGATTATTGTTTAATCATATTGCGGCTAATGATTATGAGATGAGTATATCGGTTGTGATTATGGTACGTATAACTTTTGTTAGTTTAATAGTTAGCATGATGAATATTGCAACTATTGTTACTGTCATTTTTGTTGCTATTGTTGTTAGAAGTGGCAGTGTTGTTGAGATTATTGCTTCATATGCTTGGTATTGTTTTTAGTTGTTATTGCGGCTAGAATTGTTTTCAGGATTGTTATTGTAGTGTTTTCGTCATCGTCATAGACTCATAGACATTGTCAGTATCATATGTCCATGTATGCAGTGTATGTATACATATATACATGTATACAGGAATCTAACATTAACGGTATACATGTGCACAGCGTGATATATCACAAGAGATATCGTATGACAGAATGAGCATCGCCTCAGATCGCACTACGCGACATGAAGTAAACACACACATATACTGATGTGTATGTATGTATATATATATATACACATATACACGTATACGTGTGTACATATGCACATAGACATGCACCGATATGTGTGTGTGTACATATATATATATATATAACTATGAGTATTTTGAGGGTTTGTGTTACTAAAGCAGGACTGTAGATAACACGATGGACGGGTTCTGACAATTATCAGAATACATCCTTTGTGGCCTCATGTAGTTAACGCCACAGTGTAGGCCAACAACCTGTTCTTACCAATAGCTTCTACATTGCAAACATGATATGTTTTTCTCCCGTAGCGCTTGTTCAACTTCCGTGTTCTAGTCCCGAAGCTGTTCCTCGTAATTATGTTTATGCCAATGGTTGCGTGCATGGCAATTGTCTTCCAGGATAGCTGGCGTATCTCCCTTGGCACGGGCGAGTGCAAGAAGCAAAGAAGAGGCACCCTCGAAAATCAGAAGTTTTGAGACAGGGTCCGCAAAATTCAGAGCCGTATGAGCAACAGCTACCTGCCCAGCTTGTACGAACAGTTGATCCCTTGCCATATCCCCATACAGAATGCCAAATGCCGGTTCTAGGTGTTTGGACTGAGCAGCAAATGCTGGAGGATGTTGCGAAAATTCTCAAAGATGCGGATACCAACGATGACAGCCTGTCGGGATCTTACTGATGTGAAGCCGCAGACGGTGCTTGTGTGCATGCATTGCCACTCAGGCTGTCGCTGCAGGACCGGCCACAGCGCAAAGGTTGTGGCCGTAGCAGCATAGTGTCATAGTGTATCTCCTGCAGCAAACGTAAGACAAGTTTGATTCTCCTGTGAGAGCCCTCCAGCTCTTCGGGTTGCATTATACAGCTACTGCCACGGTCTCCGCCGCACGACCAGCACCACATGACGGCGAGAAAGCGGACAAGGACGTGATCACCTTTCTACCCTTGCTGCAGGCTCGCAAACTGCCGTTCATGACGACGACCCCGACCCTGACCCCGACAGCACGATCGCGATCACGACAACCACGACGGCGTCGCAATCACCTACAACCACCACCACCACGACCACTACTACTGCGATCCTCGGATGCCTTCCGGGCTCCAGTAGCTTTGTACCACATGGGAGCTCGGTTGAAGGGAAGGTTGTAGGCTGGCAGCATGGCGCCAGAGAGAGACAGAGATTTTGCTTAGTCTTCGATCTGGCCTTCTGGATTGTACACTGATGGTGTTCCATCTTGATCTGAGATAGATGCAGGACAGGCCTTCTCTGGGGTTTGAGGACAATTAGGGAAGCCATGCGCGCGGTTGGAGCCTTTCACCGAAGGGTGGGGCGCTCCTTTGCGGCTGCCCAGCCTAAACCCTTGCGCTGCTTTGTGGCACTCACGTGGCCGAAGAGCTTGAGCAGGTTTGCTGTACACTGTTGTGTTTCCATGCTTGTAGCAGTACGTAGTCGTCGTCATGGTCGTCCTATTCGCAGTCGCAACTTGTCGGTGTTATTATCCTTTCATAGTCGTCGTACCAGAAGTGGTAAAAGCCCGCAGTCGTTGCATTCTACCACGAACCCGAATGTCGCGCTGAAGCCATGTTCTACTTTTATCTCCATCCGAGAGCCCTGACCCAAGGCAGCTGTTGCTGCAAGGCCTTGCCTTCGGCCTTAAACAGTGGCCAGGAAGACAGTTCCAAAATTGCGCCATGGTCTAGAAGGGTATTTGGAAAGCACAACATCAGGAATTGTAAAGTTCAGCTTTTTTTTTGCGGTTCAACCCGATCCAGTCTATCTGCAAGGTTATGCGCTCCTGGATGTGGACGGAGTTTGCATTCTCGGCGGTGCAGAAATTCCAGGCTCTGCGCAGGCATGTCTGCAGTAGTGTGGGCTGTGGGTGATTCGCCGTAGTCATGCAGATCAGGAGAACTTGTCTGGCCAGTTTTCGAGCTTACACAAGAAGTGATCTGGAGCTGATTCGTAGAGAGGCGTGTCGTGTTCCAAAATCTGTGAGTTGCTCGACAACTGTTTACTCGAATAGTGTGAGATTTTGAGACTAGGAGCAGTGGTGGTGCTGGTCAGAACCGCTGCACGAACACAGTCTTGGCACGGTTTGTGAAGCAGTTCAATGCGTAAGATGGAGACGGTCATCCTGGCGGATAGAACACACTCTCTCGTGGCACTGGGGGCCTTCATGGCGAACTAATCAATTTCTTTGATTCGTAGTGGCACAGCTGAAAGTATCAGTGCCTGCGCGCCAGCATCGACCCTTTGTGCTCGGACGATGCGTATGTACTGCTGCACAATATTCAGCAGTGTGACCATCGACAACTTTAGTCTAGACTTGGTATCCTACGTTTACTTGCCGGGATTTGGCGGGAGGGCCCTGCAATCACTTGCTCGACGTCTATACTCAGCTTCCCCTCCATTTCAAAATCATCTCGATCATTACAGATACTTTGAGCTGAAGAGCAATCCTGCAAGTACTCTCCTTCTAAGTGAGCGCCCCGCCCTTGATTGACTGAGCTTTTTAGCAAAAGCTAGCTTAGCGGCGCGCCATCCGAGGGTCAAAGACCTTGAAGCCTTGTGTGCACTGGAATCTCCCACGGCGAAAGACCACAATGCCATTAAAGCCGTTCATACCTGCCTTCCGGTACAAAGTCAGCCCGCCCTTCTGCTTCAGGCCCTTGCCACGTTGCGCCTCTCGGTTGCAGTGCCGCAGGCACAGACAAAGGATTCTGAAATCTTATGAGATCTGCAGCTGAAGTTAATCATAGTACTAGAATCAGAGTCGAAGCGCCGTTCATGCAAAAGTAGTCGTTTGTCCCTCAGATAGAATCAACGGAAAGTCGGGGAAGTCACTTCACGCTGCGCACTGAGGCTCCTCTGTCCGAGCTTGCCGCTTTATCACAAACCAATCCCAGGCGGCGCCGACTGTCAGGGGTTGAACAATCTTTGTTCCAGGCAGTGTAGAACAAACTTTGGTTTTGTAACATTCAGTGAAAAGATGTCAGGGTGGCGAAGACGTGCGGGGGTTCCTGCCGCGGTTCTGTGCATACTTTGCGCAAGTCCTACAGTACCGTTTACGCATCGTGCGGCCGCGCCCTCGGGAAAGCCAGATCCATTCCAGCACGCTGGCCGCCGTTTATTGAGCTTCCAAATCCCTTAATCCCGCCAGTACTGGTTGTGGGACTTGTGGAAAGCTTTTTTGGTCGTGCTCGTGAATCCACAAGTACGTGGGCGAGGTACTTTGGCCGTGGTGTCCATCGATCTCTTGGTTTAGTTTTGGTCTCCTGGTGGTCATGGTGGCCGTGGTCGTCCTCCTGGTCCGGGTGGTCCTGGTGGACGTGGTTGTCTTGATTTTCGTTTTCACCATGCTCGTCGCGCTGTTCTAATCTGTCAGTGTTTGGAGATCGACGCCGGCAGAATAACTTGAAAGACCTAGGAACTTCATTCAACTGCTTGCTTGTATTGAAAGTATAGAGTTTAGCAAGTGCTTACAGTGTGCGGGCTTGCGGCTCTAGTCCTTGGGTATCAGAACGTTTGAGTGGTCTTGCCGAAAATCGACCTTCAGGTGCTGGCTTGAGCGTGTTTTGAAGTTGGGTTCCGCAGATAAAACCACGGTTGAGACTTGGACTTGGGATGTGATTTTTTGCATGTGCGAAGATGGCTTCTTGCGATTCGCCGTGGCTTTGTGCCGGTCGGCCGGTCGGCACTCGTGTATGCAAGCGTGACCCACATCTTGCAGGAGTTATGGGCTGCATAAGCCCCTAACCGATATACGTTGTGTGAACTGTCGTCTGTTCAGCTGCTGCGTTCAGTGTTGGAAACCTCCTGCGGCGTCCTTCGTGGTTTCACCGACATTTTCCGTCGACACATGTACCTCTTCCTATAAGCCGCAAACCAATCCAAATCATGAGGCCATCTGTGTTCGAAGCTCTAAACCCCGACACGAACATGAACCACTGAGCTCGATGATCTGCAGGAGCCATGCTCTGTGGTGCAGGGGAATCTGCGTGGTGCAGGCTTTCATGTTGGCTGCTCGGGTGGTATTTCGTGAGACTCCACGATTCAAACGCCTCTGCAGATTGCATGAAAAGCCTCAACTGTGTCAGAGTTGTGGGCTTTCGAGTGGCAGCTGTTTCCAGTTGTGGCATTCGTGCACAGGTCCGGTTATTTTTGTCCCTATGTGCTGATACTGTAGCTCTGGTGTTGGATGGCAGCAGTGGTCGTAGTTTCAGCCGATTCCTAAGCTCTGAATCCTGCACCTGCTTGAACGACCGCTGCATGTCCCGAAGCGGGATGAGGCAGGGACTCTGCTGGAGTCCTTGCTGCAGTGCACAATCGAATGGCCGCCAAGGTGATGGGGAAATCTTCAGTGCGCTTCGTGCTGCACGGCATTTCGTGAAGCAGCGGAAGCTAAGGCCCGCATTGAGACTGTACCATGAGTGGGTGGTTGAAGAGTTGCTGAGGGGTCAAGAATCACGGAGGTCGACAATTCGCAGACGCCGCGGTAATGAGAGATGAATGTCTAGCATACGAGGGTCGTCATTCCTGAACTTCTAGACCTTCAGGCCTCCACACGGTCATATTCTGTCTCTTCGTAATTCGCAAGCAGGCTCAGTATAAGGAGCTGTGGTTTAGTCGGTCAGCTGAGGGGCTTCTCCGTTCTTGCTGGCCTCCAACAAGGCTCTGCAAGAACCGCCCCTAAAGCACTCTCTTTCTCAACCCTTGCACGGTGTCGGTGCTGTTTCAAGCTCCAATCGGGTCTGAAGCCACCCCGCACTAAACAACGATTTGAATGTTAACGCCGCCTCCTGCCTCACAAGTCTCCTGCCCATCGCATATTCTTTACCTTGCCTGCTTTCCCTGGGCTCCCCTATGTGTCTCAACAGGGCTTAACCTTTCAACCACACAGATCCCGAATCCCTTTCCAAATCCCAGAGTCTCGTCCCCAAATCCAATTCGCAGCCGACTTCTTGCTCTGTCTCACGCTCCCTGGCCGTCTCTTTCTCAGCCGCTCTGCCTCTAGGGCTCTAGGGCTGTGGGGATTGCTTTGAAGATGTGGTTGTTGAGGTTGTTCTTCTCTTCTCAGCTTTTCCATTTTCTCTGTCTCTGTCTCACTCGTTTTGCTCTTGCTGCTTTGCTGTTTTTGATAATTTTTGCGGTCTCAAGGCCCTGTGAAGGAGTGAGGGAGGGACTCAATGGTCTTCCTTTCTTCGATTTCTGGGCTCCTGCGCTTTCCTCCCGTGTCCATTGACAGCGACACCTTCCTTTTTTCCCACTTCGGCCACAGCAAACCCGTGCGGTGAGGCTGGCCTTAGCAAAATCAAGGGGGGGCGAGTCGGCAGAGGCAGCAGGTTTGAGAAGGTCGGAAAGCAATGCACCGGTGTATCATGTTACAAGGGCGTACAACTGCTCTAGTACAGCCGGATGCGAACGTGATGTGCAAACATGCTCGCTGCAAGGCCACTGTGTTTGCTCAGCTCTGCGGCCATGGAGGAGAGAGAGGGATGTTCAACTCGCCATCGGTGTGCACAAAAGGCAGTCCCACGCAGTTACAATTTTTGCGTTTCGGAAATGTTTCAGGAGTTCCGTGATGTGCCACAAGAGGAGCCAAACGCTGTGGTTGTCGGAACTGTGCCTTTGGCATGGACACTGTGGATCATCGATATGTATGCATGCAGTGAATGATGCAACTGAGCATGTGTTGCCGCCAAGGCACCGGAGCATATGCACTACGAGCGGCTAACCGAAGCCATGCGAGTGCTCCAAGCCAACGAGGTCTGGTGGGAGGGCGAAAATAGTGAGCAGGAGAATGACGAGCACGATGATGGTGATGACTCATATGGTGAGGATGATGAAGAGGAGGAGCAGCATGAGGAGCAGGAGGTGGATTAGGAGGGTGACTCAAGGTGCGGTTGCCAAACAATCTAATGAACACGCTTTTGAAGCTTGTTTTTTTTGCTGTTCCGCCAAGCCAGGCTTCAGGTTGCCCTTGCGCCAACGGCTGACGCACTTGCCTATGACATCCAGTGACCTCACCATCTCCGGTTCAGTGCCGTTTTGCCCGCCGCAACCATCATTGGAGACCACACACTGCCTTAGTAATCATTTGGAACATGGTTTGGCCTGTGCACACTACACGGGACATGATGGGGTCGTACGCGCTCCGGCCATCCAGCAACATGAGAACCATGACCGTGCCTGGGCGCAAGGACAACGCAGCCCGCACCCTGGCCGCGAAAGCGTCCGTCCCTGCACGGGCCTGGAGCACGGGGAACTGGCCTTGCAGCGTTGTCGAAGACCTGCGCCTACTCTTTGACCAAGTTTTGCAAAACCAACTTCAAATGCTCAGCCCTCATGCCGGACATGCCAACCGCCCCACTCCGTCGAGTTTCGCAAAGTGCGCTGATGCGCGCTGGCGACCGCTCGGGTTGAGAGCTGAGCGAAGCCTTCGGGTTGGTACTGAAGCAACTCGGCGAGCGGTGCGACCGGCTCCGTGCCCGGTGCGAGCCCTGCTGCCGTAATGAAGTAACTATCGGGCGTGACCAAGGCGCATGCCCGTCGGCGCTTGTGTTCGGACGCAAAAGAAAAAGAGCAGGGTCGAGCTCTGTCAGCAGCTCGGGAGCTCCTGTCCCGGGCCGCGCGGCGTCTCCACTCTCCTCGTCAAACTCTTCAGCAGCTGCCCCAACTATACTTGCAGTGCAGCTGCAGCGGGTTCCTCCTCTCCATGTGCGCTCCCCCGCCAGCGATGCACTCTGCATGCTGACCCCGTCCGAGTATGTCCGAGTCACGAGGGTATGCCGCTGCACATAACGAAGCCATCATAGCCATCTGGGAAACGTTGCCAGCCTGCTTCGGAGGTTTGCGGTTTAGCGAATTCACCCAACGCTTGGCCGATATCGCCACAGTGCCGGAAGTGCTCGGCTGCTTTGGCCTGCAATCCATTGCAATCCGCACAATGCACGGCTAGGCAGCTTATCGGGCGGCGGTGTGGGCGGACGTCCTGCCCGTGATGCGAGTCTGCGCCGCCGGTGCCAGGATGCACGAGAGGGCGGAGCAAGCCGAGACGCCCCTTCTTTTCGCGAGGCGGTGAGGCACGAGAGAAGCAGGATGGCAAGCTTGCATAAGCTTGCCCCCGTGGCGCGCCGTGTTGGAAGGAGTGGCAGGTTATGGCCGCATGGATGGCAGATGCGCAACACGAATCCTTTGCACACACTTCCGCGAACGCACGCGGCCGCCTGACATGCCCACACCCTTGGGTCGTCGCCTGCGACAACTTTCGTTTTCGCACCGGGACACCGTGGCGCAGCATAGACGGCTTTCAGCGATCACGCACCCGTGTGCCCGCTCGCTGACTGGACTCCTCGGCGCGCGGCATCACGCGGCCCAGGATCGTGGAGCGAGTTTGGGCGCGGGTCGTCCGGGCAGCGATCGGAAGGTCATTGCAAGTTATTCCGCAGCAGTCACCCCGCAGCCATGCGCAGCTGCCGTGGATGGTGCCGAACGGCGGGTGGCCAAGTGCCGCAAGCACTCCGCATACCCTGAACTCACACGGCGTGCCGGGCAGCAGCAACCAACATACAGTACCATGCAACGCAATGATTTTTGCGCAGCACCCTTCTCCGCCTGCAGGAGGGTGTCCCTCAGCTCCGACTCATGGGACCTTCGGGCGCTCAGCCTGCCACTATCTTCACTGTCCTTCACTTCAAGGGCACGCGATTCTGGCCTGCAGGAGCGGCCAGTGGACGATGAGTCTTCACCGGATTCGCCGGCCTTTGGTGGCAGCGCCTTGCACAGCACCGCTAGCCAGGGCTGGCTGCGCAGCTGCTGGTGCCTGCTATATAAGCGTTGCTTTGCAAGGCACATCAAAGCGCCGTTGCTGCAACGCTGCTCGGCACGCCATACGTTGCTGAAGCCATGCCTGGCTCCCAGACCCTCGCGCTGGAAATGCTGCACGACGCAGCCCCTCCCAACCCGAGCCGCCTGGGTCCGCAACTTGCAGTGGCACTCTATTGCGCCGCCTAACAGAACGTGCGCGGAAAAACAAAGGAAGGTGTCGCAGACCATGGTTGCTGCACGGCGCGATGTGCCGCCAGTTCACGGGCGGTGCCCTTTGGCGGCGCGCATGCAGTGTGGTGTGCGACAGAGTCCCGCCATGTGTGTTGGTTGCGGGCGCTGGAGAGGAGGGCGATCCGTTCAAGCCGGCCATGTCCCCTCTGGTGTTGCAGCCTGCGCTGCGCGGTGTGCAATTCGAGCTCCACTCCGCAGAAGAAGCGTTAGGCCCGTTAGGCTTATGAGACACAGTCCCTGCAACCCTTGGGAAGGTCTGACGTTAGTATTCGTGCGAGGTTTTGCGAGAGGGTGAGGCTGAGTGGGCGGAGTGTGAGCGGACATGCTCACACCTCCGCTCACACTCCCAATCAAATTGCGCGCACACATCTTCAAAACACAACGACAAGTGTGAACGGACGTGCGTGCGGAAGTGCGAGCGGAGGTGTGAGCGGGAGTGTGACAGGGAGTGGGAGCGGGGTCCGGAGTGTGAGTGGCTCATACATGCCCACGCTTCCGCTCACACTCCTGCCCACACTACGTGCTGTGTTGTACAGCCACAATGTGTGAGCGGGAGTGCGAGGTTCATTCATGCCCACGCTTCCGCTCACACTCGCTCACACTTTTGGCTGTGTTTTACAGCAGAAAATGTGTGAGCAGGGGTGTGAGAGGGAGTGTGAGCGGGATCCGGAGTGACACTCAACCTGACGTTCAACCTCACACTTCCCGTTGGGCTGGAAATACTCTTTCGCACACACTCAAACTCACGAAAAGAATAGTTATTTCCTGGAATCCGAGCACTTGCACGGGACCGTGTCTCATAACGCTAGCCCACCTTGGCGACATCTGAATCCTAACCCCCCCCCGCTTCCAGAGTTGCCCGAGCTGCACAATCGCCTGGAGCATCTGTTGCGGCAAGCGTGCCTTCGCCTCAAAAACGCTGTGCAACTGCGCCGGCCCGCCGCCACCTGGTGTGTCTGCCCTCGCCCCCCCACTCCCTTATTTGGGTCGGCGACCCGGTCGGCACTCCGCGTATTGTGCTGGCCCGCCGGGCCAGCCGCTTGGACACCTTCGGCCCCGCAAGACTTTCCAGGCGACCCAAACAACAAAAAAAATAGCCTGCTGTATGTGATTCGTAACCGGCTGCTACACAGCACATGATATTGGGCCTCCTGGGCCGATGCACTGCGCGCGATAAGTCGACGTGATGCTTCGCTTGCCTGCAAAATCATGGCCCCCTGGCCTCTGACGGCTCAATGCCCGAAGCCTTGCAGCCCTTGCGCGTTGCCCGGAACACCTTTAAAAAAAAGCCTTGGCAGCCATCCGTTTATTAGGGGTCGTTTTTGCTGGGGCCAAAATCCAGCCCCGAATCAAGGAAAACAGCCAGCACAGTCGGTTACCCCGGTGCAGGTGCCTGGACAACTTCGAGATTCTACCTTGTAAGAATCCAATCGTGACCTTCCCTGTTTCTCTAGAGCCTCTCCTTCTCGAAAGCCTCTCCGCTTCCGGAGCTCTCTCCGCTTCTAAAAGTTGCTCATGGTCGTTTCTTCTCTAGAGTCCCTCCTTTCATATAGCGTTCCAGCCCCTCAGTTTTTCTCTAAAACCTCCCCGCTTCTACAGCTCCCTCGTTCTCTAGAGCTTTTCTTTTCCTGAAGCGTTTCCGCTTCTGGGGCTCTCCTTCTCTAGAGCCGCACATCTTCCAACAGCCCTCCCTCGAATTGGTGCCTTCCAGGTCGTGACCGCACTCAGGAGGCCAACCATTGTCCTTAAGGGAACTAGGCGGGACGAGGGGGCCCCGCACCCAACAGACCACGGTGGGCCATGGAAAACAGCCAGTTTTTTTTCTTCGGCCTTTCCGGCCACGCCACGCAGCGACCCGCATCCCAAGCAGTTGACGGTTTGTGCCACCGTGCATTCGTGAGGGGGACTGATGCCGCTTCGCGCAGACTCCGCTTGCCGGCGCCGTGCACTGCAATGGAGCGACCACCTCGCGGCCTGGAGCTGCGCCGTCGAGGAGCGGCCGCACAGATCTGCCACAACGCGGGTGCAGCGGGTGTCCTCCATGTATCTCAATGTTCTTGTTCGGACTTCAATGTCAACGCTGTCTGCCAGCATGACAGGCGCCTACGGGTCATCGCCACCGCTTTCTGGGGAGGGGCTGTCGACACTACAATGGCGCACCTTCTCATCGCCGCAGGCACGCCAGGCCGGGCACGCACTGTTGTGCAGGTTTAGCCGCTGCAGGCTCGCCGTTCTTGCAATCGAAGTCGGCGGCCACTGGCTCTCGAGGCAGCTCTCGCGTTCACCGGTGCACATGGTCCGCGCCACAGCGCGCTCTTTCGCAGCAAGCCTGTTGTGGTTCCCACTGGCCGGCACCGCGGATGTCGATGGGGAACTACCATAACTACCCTCCATTGAGCGACATGCTCGCCGACTCTGCCGCATTGCTTCCTTTCGCCAGCCGCCTTCTGTGCCGGCATTCTATGCCTTGGCGCAGCACGCCGCGCTAGCTGACCTTCAGAGCCAGTTGGGTGACGGAGAGGCCGTCTTCGCGTTCCTTGACGATGTTTATGTTGTCTCGACACCCCAACGCACACGCACGCTCCACAACGCCCTCGCTGACGCCCTCCGGCACCGCGCGCGGATCCGTCTCCATGAGGGTTATAAGACGCGGATTTGGAACTCCGCCGGCGAAGAGCCGAATGCCATCGCCGACCTCGGAGCCGAACCCGTCTGGGTCGGGGACTGGTCCTTCCCGCCGGAGTCAAAAGGGATGAAAGTGCTCGGTTCGTCTTTCGGGCACGATGCCATTGTCGCCAGGCACCTCCAGAGCAAGCACGAGGACCACGACCGGCTCCTCCAACATCTCCCCAGCTTCGACGACTTGCAGGCGGCCTGGCTGCTGGTCCGATTCTGCGCCGCCCCGCGCGAACTACCTGCTGCGAATCTTGCCCCCGCACCTCACCGCCGCGTCTGCAGCAACATCAGTTGCCCACTGCCTGGCCGCACTCCTGGAGCGCGAAGCCGCCCCCATCCCGGAGCGAAGCTTCTGCATCGCTTATCTCGCGCAACGATTCGGGGGGCTTGGCCTGCCTTGCCGCGCAGCCTCCCCGGAGCCTCGCACGACCCCTGGCCCTTCAGGTTGGCAGCGCCTAGCTGCCCGCGCCTGGCGCGCGCGCTTATGAGATGCTGTCACAGGCTGGGCCCTTCGCTGCCCGAGCCTTCAATGTCCCCCCCATCCGCGACGAGATCTCCATACCTAGCGCGCAATTCCGGCTCCCTCCTGCTGCGCCCTCTTCCGCTTCCCCTCCCCTCCCGCAGCCATGGAGAGCTTGATGCGCTCGGCGACCACCTCTCAGCCTGCGCTACTCGGGCGTCCTCGCACGCCGTCGCGCGGATCTGTCGCGAAGCCGGTGCTCGCGTCGCTCGCCATGTCCGGCTGGCCGACATGAACCTCGATGTACCATATGTACCGATCTCGGACGTGCGGCGCATTGACGTCGTTGCCAACGGATTGCTTCTGTGGCATGGCTCGCAGCTCGCCCTGGACGCCACCATCATCTAGCCCCTCACGCGGCGCGGGGAGCCCCCAGTTTGCCGACGCCCCGCCAGGAACCGCCGTGACGGCCGCTGCCCGGCGCAAACGGCGCCAAACTTACCCTGAGCTCGAGCGAGCGCGGCGCTGCCGCATGTGGTTGTTGGCCTGGAGGTTGGCGGCACGTTTGGGGCCGAGACCGTGCAGCAGCTACGCCTTCTCGCACGACACCGGGCCGCCGCAGTCCCCGCACACTTGACACTGTTGCCTGGATCTCGCGCTGGTCCGGCCCTCGGGCAGTCGCATCCCAGCGCGCCTAAGCCGCCTTGCTCCTCGAGCTCCCACTCGCGCTGCGAGCAGCTGTAGGCTCCCCCTCGGCCGCCACCGATGGAGCCGGTCCCAGAAGGTAGCGCGTCGTGTGCACCGGGACCTGAGGTAAAAAGGCGCGTGGAAGAAAATGTGTGGCAGCCTGCACGTATTGTACTAGGTGGCATGTCGGCGGCCTATCAACTTTCAGGCCTTCCCATGTTGGACTGTGGAAAGGGAGCGTGAGGAAAAAAGAAGGTTTGCTGCGCCATCCCCCATTCTAGGTAAATGAAGGCTGAGGGGGGGGTACCCTGAAACCGGCAAGCTTTCACTTTCACTTCCCCCCTTCAAATTTCAGGAGGGGTCGATAAATGAAGGTTGGAGACGGGGACGTGTGTGCTTTCACTTTTGATTTTTGTGGGAGGCGTGGATGTGTATATTAGCTTGGCTGATCGTAGAGGCGCTGGCTCGCCGGGAGCCAGCTACGCATAATTTCACGAGACATAGACATACAGTATACTGACATGCAAGTGGCACACCGAATGGACATGCAGGCGGCCAACCGAATTTGTCCTAGGTCATTTAGAAGTTGAGTTCAAACATTTTGGGTTTCAAGCTAGCTGAGTTCGTTTGTCGAGTGCACACTGGAACGTGACATTCTTGTCATGACCTCATGATATCTTGAGATTCCCACTGGTTTTCTGCAGTTTCCAGGCTTTTGCATCTTCCGTGGGAGAATCTAGGAAGTAGCTGCGTAGCTGTAACTTCGCGAAAGACTTCCCTTTATACTCCGACTGGTTCATGTCTTATATTTGGACAATGTTACGCAGAGCCGCATAGAACCTGGAAAAGTGAAGAATCTCGGGGTGGACGTCTCGGAAGTCCTGCGCTCCTGCACGCATTCCTGAGGTTCCCCCTGGTTTTCTGCACTTTCCAGGCTTTTGCGTCTGCCGTGGGAGAATCTAGGGATATTACGCAGAGACGCATAGAACCTGGAAAAGTGAAGAATTTGGGGGTGGACGTCTCGGAAGTCCAGCGCTGCCGCACGCATTCCTCAGGTTCCCCCTGGTTTTTTCCAGGCTTTTGCATTTGCCGTGGGAAAATCTAGGGAGTTGCTGTAACTTCGCACTAACACTTCACTATACTCCGACTGGTTCATATCTTATATTTGGACAATGTTACGCAGAGCCGCATAGAACCTGGAAAAGTGAAGAATCTGAGGGTGGACGTCTCGGAAGTCCTGCGCTCCTGCACGCATTCCTGAGGTTCCCCCTGGATTTCTGCACTTTCCAGGCTTTTGCATCTGCCGTGGGAGAATCAAGGGATATTACGCAGAGCCGCATAGAACCTGGAAAAATGAAGAATCTGAGGGTCGACGTCTCAGAAGTCCTGCGCTCCTGCACGCATTCCCCACGTACCCTCTGGACTCCTGCACTTTCCCTTCTCGCACGCGGCATGCCTTTCGATTTACTGAAGTCTTTCTCGGTTACCACAAGCAAGCAGGGTCTGGCACCAACACCCACGAAGCACAAGACGATATTGCACAGGCATGCGACAGCTAGGAACATGTAATGTTCCAGCAGGCTTCCGCGCCTCGGCATATGGCCTTCGGTTTTCACGTCCACAGCAGCCTCCGGCACTCATGCCAGAGTCAACCCATGGAATCCCACCTAAAAAAGAGTGGAAACCAGCCACTTCCAGCACAGCCGCTGGTTTTTAAAAGCAGCTGACAAAGGGGGTCGCCGCAGCAAATACAAATCCACCGTTGCACGCCCAATGATGCAAGTGAGGATTTTAGTTTAAGCTTTCGGGGGATTTATGGGTGGGTCCCCCCCACGGCCTGCCAGAATTTGGTTTATAGGTCCTTAGGAATAAAAGTGTTGGGGGAGTTATCACTTCCGAACCTAGCTTAAGTTCTACAGTACATCCGATAAACCACTGAGGGGGACCTCCCAAAGTGCAATCTTCACTTTCCTAGGTCCCCCCCGAAATCATGGGGGATGCTGCGCCCAAGCAGTTTTCTTCGTTGATCCTTCGTACGCACCGTAATCCACGATGCAACGATGTTTCCTGTGCACTTCGGTGTTTTTTCATCTTCACTGTTATTTCGGGACAGCATGGAATCTCATAGATTTCTGGTGTTGGAACACTGCCACCGCAGGACAGCCATCTCATCGCGGCAGCTGGCGATTGCAATTTACAGGGTCACACATTTCAGGTTAATATGAGCCACCAGTTGGCCACCGGCGACAGTGGTGCGTTGCAGGTATTTCCAGGTAACCTACGAAAAAAACTTGCTTGATCGAGGTAAACAAAGGTCGATACTTCCAGCGCGAGGATGGCCTAGCGCTGCAGGCCGGAGTTTTTGGATGCCGACTCGCGCCCGGGGAAAGCAGAGTTTGTGTATGTTTTAAACAAAGGAATTCCCTGCCGTCTCTGTGAAACAGGGCAAAATTCCTTGGCAATGTTTACGTATGCTTAGCACATGCTCCGTCTAGGAAGGCCAAGACTAGATGTCCAGTACCTTTATGGTGTGTTCGTGCTGGCGTGTTGCGGTTGTTGCCAAAACAAAATAGCAACTGAGCATACGTAATTAACCACATTGGCTGTGAGGCTGGCCCCTTCGTTGCGGCGCTCGAGTTTGCAACAGGCGGCTTCGTGATTTTTCGTTCCTTTGATGGTTTTTTTTTTTTTCAGATGTGCTTTCCAATCCGGTATCGGTAGGCCAGGCCCCAGAGCCGATATTGCGGGCCGATTACGAGAAAAAAAGGCTGTGATTGCGAGGCAAGATGGCGACCGTGGTGGGGAAACCGCATCTGGGCTGGCTTAATTCGCGATTGGCACTACTATACATCAGTGAAACGCTCGTGCTTGCACGATGTCTCGACCCACGACGTAGCTAGTCGCACTGTTGCTTCCTTGTTGTAGGTGTTCGGCAGTAGACCCCTTACTGCACTTCACCGGCAATACCATGTGCCCAGGGATTGGGAATTCTTCCACTCCGCCGTTGAAGATGCATCTGGTGTGATGGGTACATCCAGCGATTTGCCCCTCGAGAACTTCGTCATGATAGGCCTCGGGCAGCGGCGAAATGCCTGCGTCGGGTTTGCGCGCTTTCTGGATGCACCACGCACCAAAGGACCCCGGCAAACCCCAGCAAAAGGGGCGAAAGCCTCCCGATTGACAGGATTTTGAGAATGACTCAGTTTTTGTTGAGTTTTGGTTGTATCTTGCATCAGGAGATGACGTCATCGATGATGTCCAAGGCAGGATCGAGACGAGTGTCATGAAAGCATTGACTACGCATTGCAAAGCGTATGCAACGAAGTCTTTGTGCATTTCAGAAGTTCCGGGTCGCGCGAGGTTGCCCATGTAACGTGCAGTGCACTGTTGCACAAGTGAAGGCTGCGACGGGGATACAGACAAAATGGAAAAGGAAGAAGACAAAGGCAAACGATAGAGGAGCGAATGAGGAGGGACTGAGGTAATGCATTAAAAAGATAATGGATGGAGGGATGGGATGGCGTGGAATGGGATTGAAAGGAAGGGGAAGGAAATCAATGAAAGGAAAAAGGAAGGGAATGGAACGAAATGGCATGTCTGAAACGAATTGAAATTAAGTGAAAGTAAAGACATGAATGACGTGAATGAAATGAATGAACGGATAAATCAATGGCGTGTCTGGCTGAATGAATGAACGAGTGGAATGAACGCTGGATCAATGGATCATTGAACGAATGACTGAAGGAAAGGAAGAAAGGAAGGAAGGAGAGAAGAAAGACAATGAGAGAGACGGCATGGAATGAATGAATCAATCAATGGGTCAATGAATGCACGAACGAAAGTGAATGAATGATGGAATGAACAACGACAAATGATATGTTGGCCTGCATGAATGACTGATTGATTGTGTTGGGTGAATGGTTTTAGCGGAATGAGTGGCATGAATTGCAGAAATGCGGGTGAATGGACTGTAGGGACGCGTGCAATGACTGAGATGAGCCAGTGAATGGATGATACGAGAAGGACTGAAATGGCATGGCTGGCGGTTGGGATGGATGAATGGCATGGAACGTAACGAGTGGAGTGAATGGATGAGTGGGATGAATGGAGCGAACGGAAGGAAGCAAATGAAATGAAGCGAGGGAGTACAACTTATGAACACGTGAAGTGATTTGGCATGGGTCAGTGCATGAAGGAATCACGGAACTGATGAATGCAAGGAAGGCAGGAATGCTGGAATGACAAGAACGGAATGAATGGAATGAATGAACAGACGGAATGACTGGAATCAAGTCAGTGAAATGATGGATTGATTGATTGTTTGACTGATTGATGGAGTGAGTGAATGAATGCATGGATGGATGGGTTGGAATGAAATAATGAAGTGAAAATGAACGGATGAAATGAGCTGCGTGAGTAAAATCACATGACTCGACATGAGATGATTTCACGCTAGATTGACCACCGAAGGAAACGCTGAATTGAGGAGCCAAATGGAGATTGAAGTTAATGAAACGAAGGAAGTTCAATTTAAATTAACGAAATGAAATGAACGAACGGAGTGGCGACAGGAGAAGGGTGTGTGAATCAACGAACATAGAGGCATACATAAATAATCGTAAACACATACGTAGATATATATACACATACAGTTCTACATGTGTGTGTATATATACATATATATATATACTCGCTCACACATGTATACATACAGATACAGATTAAGCGCATGTTTCTGACATTTGTGTGTGCGTGTGCGCACAGAGGCATCGCCTGGAGCAGTTGTTCGTTTTGTTCTACCCACCAAGATGTGAGGCGCCATGAGGGCCGGCATGAGGGCGATCCTCGTGAAAACAGGCACGGCCCTATGACGCTGGGGGTCGTGTAAAAACTTTTCAGAGGCTCGAAAATTGCCGTACATGCCCGCATGTGCCATCTGAATCCATAATTAATGTCCACCCAACCGATGCATTACGACGTGTCACGTCGAGTTTGTTCCGCTGGTTCTTCAGCATCGTTAGTTTGCAAGCCTGGCGCAAGTCTGGGCTAGTACTTTTCGGTTGGCACCCGGCAGGGGCGAGGGGTGTTCAGTAGTCACGAGCTGTCCTGCCAGACCTCGCATGTCGTCCGCTTGAAATCTCCTTGCGGCGTGGGCCTTGCGTATGATCATATGTAGTAATTAGTCAAGAAGTCAATGGCAGCACAGAGTCATCGAAAGTCTACCCTTACTGTTGTCGGTGATGTCGTGCTGGGCCGCATGTGGTATTTGCATGTGCTCCGCAGGCAAGTATCGGACTGGCGATGAGCTGCGCTTAGCGACGCCGCCTTTGGCCGTCGTGGACAGCTGCTTGCTGCAAGCGCCTCCCCTTGGGGTTGTTTCGGTTGTTTTCATGTGGAGATGACTTGCTCACCTGACTTTCGCAATTCCTCGCGCCTGTGCTCCAAAGCTGCTCGGCGAGGGACAGGTCATGTTTCCGGTGATCATCCAGCATGCCACCCCTGTCTTGAAAGCTTCACTTAACACCTGCAACTGCGTCTCTTTCCAAAGTCCAGTCTAGCTAGCCGTCCGGTCTTTAAGCCAAACCTCCATCTATTGAAGTTGCATAGGCCAGACGCAACTCACCAATGCTACTGAACCGGCAACAGCTTGCACGGCCTGAAACGTTAAGGCCTGGAACACGCTGTGGATTTTTTGCAAGCAGAAGGCTTGCTGGACGGACGATGACTCCTGCGGCGGAGAAAGCAAGCCAGACATGAGCTGCGTGACACCGGATTTACATGGCACTTGGCAAGTCCGAAGCGAATCTGAGACGAACATTGTGTTTCAGGGTGACAGCTCGACGCATGTGCCTGGGTGTGTTTGCGTGTGTGGTGTGGGCTCTGTGCGTGTTGTGTCTGTTTGTTGCATACTGTGTCTGCGTTTATCTATGTATGTATGCATGTATGCATGCATGTATCTCTTATGTTTGTCTGTGTGCACGTATGCATGCATGTAGCTTTGTATCTTTGTGTTTTTGTGTCCAGGTATCCAGTACCTATGTCTGCATGTCTGTGTATGCATGTCTGTCTGTTTGTCCATCTGTCTGCATGTCTCTATGTCTGTATGTACGGATGTTTTCCTCGACTGAACTGGAGGGTTTAGAAGAATATGAGCCGCAAACATCGAGCCCGTGGAGAAAGATTCACACGTCCATGTACCAAAGATCAGTTAGGCCGTTAGGCATGTCGGAGGAGCTCGAAAGCTACCTCGGAGACTACTTGGGCTACGGAAGCACGGAAATCAGGCGATTGCAGCGGCAAGAGGACGGATAGGAGTGTTTGTGATGCAAGTGGCAGCAACAGGAACGGTCAAGCTTCGGCTTGAGGCTTGTAGGATGGTTTTGAAGTTCATAAGGCGGCTTCGGCCATCGGCAGCTGATTCCACAAGCTTTCACAAGGCACTAGCAAGTCACTTGATGGCTGGGAGCTCCGAGTTCAGCATCAGCCCGAACAGCACTGGGATGCACTGGGTTTATTTCATGAGGTTCCTCACTGCACCGCCGCATGCTGCGGTGAAATTTGAATACCGATTAGATCCGTCGTCACGACATGCCCCAGCGCAACAATAGTCTTAAAGCCCATGCCCGATTTGGAGGCATACTCGTGCATGTCGTACCGGCAGGTATCGTTTCACGCATGGTCCATAAACGGTTGGAGTTTGCAGAGTTGGTGGTGTTGTTCGATGCAATTACAAGGTGTGTGCCAGTGGAACACCACCGAAACTTGAATTCATTGTGCCGTGCAGGGCTTTCTTCGAAGAACACAAAAACGAGGCGCGCTCGAATGCACCAACTACTGTACACAGCGTGTTTTCGAGTCCTGGGCACGTGTGGAAGCCATGCTTACACCTCCCGAGCCCACCTCTCACGCAGGCTGGGGCTGTGGACCTCGCTGGCCTCAAGAAAGGACCGGTTCGATTTGGTGAAATTTGGTGTATTTCAGCCCCAGCACGTGCTTGTTCCTTCAGTGATTCTCAGTTGGTCAGTTTGGAGCTGGCATTCCGTTTGTGCCACACGACCATCGTTGCTTTTGTGCGCATGCAGAAGTTGCGCACTTTTCCGTGATGTGGTGGCCGCTGGCCGCCTTGATCGCAAGTCGGGTAGCAGGCCAAGTTGTATTTTTTATTTTAGATGTGACTTCGCTTCCTATTAGACGCAATTTTGTCCTACTTACCCCACCTACCCCGCCTACCCTCAAGACCCGGTCGCTACCCACAAGACGAAAACCAAAAGAAGTGAATCCAGCTAGAACGTTTTACCCGAAACGAAAACCCTTCAGAGTGAATCCAGCAGGAACCTTTGGTAACGAGAAACCCTGACGAGTGAATCCAGCAGGAGCCTTTTACCCAAGACGAAACCCCCAAGCACTGAATCTAGCGAGAACCATGTACCCAAGACGAAACCCTAAAAAGTGAATCCCTCGAGAACTCTTTATACCAAAGACGAAAAAATTTCAGGAGTGAACTACGCCGAAGACGAAAAACCTAAGGAGTGAATCCAGCCGGAACCTTTGGAAAGGGCGAAAACGCCAAGGAGTGAATCCCGCAAGAACCTTCGGAAAAGACCAAACCCTAACCAGGAACTTTTTCCCGAAGACGAAAGCCCTACAGCCCTAAGGAGAGAACCAGCGGGAACCCTTTACCCAAGACGAAATCTGGAAGGAGCGAATCCAGCGAGAACCTTTTACCCAAGACGAACACTCTAAATGAACCTTGTGTGACGGTTCTGGCTTGGTGCTGAATACACCAAAATTGTGGTTTGGCGCTAGGTACACCACAAAGAGCTAGTGGCCAGGTGCTAAAGACACCAAAAAAGTTACAACTAAGATGCATGTTTTGCAACCCCCTGCAGAGATTTGCTGTTTTTGGACCCGCAAAAAGTTACAAACCAGTCCTTTTGCGGAAAAAGCTGGAAAGCTACATCTAAGAGAAGAGCAGGTCACAATTAAGTGTTCTACCTTGATCGTAAGTCGCTGCCGAGTTCCCTACCAGCGTCGTGCAAAGCGGATTGGTCATGCCTCGGGGCTCGATGGGGCAATCGCCGACCAAGTTTCCACTTGAGAGTGTCTCATGTGCACAAGCGAACACCGCACGCAGGGCCGAGTGGAAGGCCAAAGCGATGCAACGCCCAATCCTGCTGTCGAGCCAACCTGTGCAAAGACCTGGATGTTGAGGCTGAAGTCTGGAGTGGCTGGTCGCCATGTTAATAATATACATGCACTGTGCCATGTGTCCCAACGCTTGGCTTAAAGTCAATCTGATGACCTCCTGGCCCGGCCAGGCTTTGCAAGTCCGGTCCTCAGGAAAAGTCTAGGCTCAACACACGCCGAATACTGTTAGCTGCAGCGAGAAGCAGAGAAGCATGTGTGACCTGATTCAACTCCGGTCCTACTCACACTCCTTTCTACAGGCAGGGTGGCAGGATGGGTCCAGGTCCAGGTTTGCGAATTATTGATGCATGTTTGATCGAGCTTATCCCCAAGACTTTGAGACTCTGCCCCAACGTATCGACGAGCTGCTGTCAGTCCAATTATGATTTGTTTTCTGCGCCCCTGAAACCGCTAGCGGCCCCAGCGCCTCTACACCATCTTTTGCCAGGGCTTGAGCTGAAGCTTCAGGCGTTTAACCGGCTCCGAGGCTTGAACCCTTACCTCATCTCCAAGCGCAAAGACTGCACCATCTGGCGGAAGAGGGGATCTGCTTCTTGTCCCACCAAAAGCGTAGTCTCCAGGCTGGGTCTTCAGGTCAAGGCTTCGGGGTTGCACATATTGGTTCTAGAGCTAGGCCATGCCATTGGGGCCTCGGCCCAGCGGGTATGACGGATTCTGCAGAACCTTGCAGCGCTTGCAGCTCGTAATTGACCCACCACACCTCCACGCTTGCGATCCTTGAGCCCTGAACCAAGAATCACTGAACCCTAAACACCTAGCCGCGCCTGGATTGTCCGAGTGTGAGCGCCGAAACACCTAGCCGCACTTCAGATCTCCGCCCCCGGAAGCCAGATGAATCTCGAGGAGTCTTGGTTTTCCCTTGTTCTGCACATCTCTGCACCTGTTGTAGGCTTTTGGGCATCGGTTGGAAAATGTGAAGTTCGTGTAGCTTCTTCGGGGTTTTGCTAAAGTGAGGTCCGCGGTCGGGATATTTGGTTTGCTGTTTGCTGAAATGGTTCTTTGAGACATGTGATTAATGTGATTCAACGAGCTGAAAGTCTGCACGAGGCCACAGAGCCCGCTCCTAGTCTTGCCGTGTCTTGACATGAGCTGTGTTCGGATGGGCCGTGCTGGGTTCTGTATTCGCAGGCATAGCCTCACCAACAAGTCACCTGGATATTCGACACCCGTGCTGGTCGCGCCGCCTCCACAGCCGCAGCTCAGCCAGTGAGCAAACATCATGGCCATGATGCTGAGCTAGATCCTGAGGTTCGGGGAGATTCAACAAACGCCCATGAGTTGTTGATTGGCGGTGAAGTGAGGGTTCCATAATTCTTTCGGTGGGAGATGGTGGGAATGAATAGCTGGTGATAGCTGGTGCCTGGTCGACATTAAGTATCTCCTTCGTTTCAACAGTAAAGTAAACCGGTGAACCCTGCAAAGACGCAACTGTCGCCTCATCGACCCTCCCTTCCCCTTTCCTGGTAACTTTAAACTTTAGATTCTGAAGCAAGAAGCCGAGATCCTCTTCTCGTAGAACAGACCTGAGCAGGGCAAAGTCCCAGCGCTCGTCGAAGAGCCCTGGCCATGTCGCCGTGGCAGCTTTTTACAAGCCGCGGTCGAGAAGGTGCTCCTCGTTTCCTTGAGTTGTGCCGGCTTTCGGGTATAATGGTGTTTCTCCAGCGGTCCAGTGCTCTAAACTCCAGACTTGCGGCCATTGTGAGCCGCGGGCACTGGCGTTTGTTGGCTGTTTCGTCATGACGCCAGCGTCCGCATTCCACATCCGAAGTAGCCTGGTCAAGACTAGTTGACGGTACTTCAACAAACGAAGCGCAGCTGTTGAAGCTCATCCCTGAACCCCTTGTGTAAATTAGTGTAAGTCCAAAAGCCCTGCCTCACGCTCGTCCGTGGCAGTGCTTCTGGAACGAACTGCCTCACAGCTAGGCTAGACTAACGCTTTGCACCTGTCAGGCGCCTTAGGGGTCATTGTCATTCAACCCGCCAACCTGTGTCAAGATGGCGACAGGCTTCAGTCGAGATGACGAGTGACGGTGCAAAGGGCCGACCTGGAGACCACAACAAGGATAGAGTGGGAGTGACCCGACAACGGCTTGCTTGAATCACACACAACACTTCAATAATTTTCACAGTTGCAAAAAGCGGGGGGGCAGTAGTCGAAGCAACGAGACTTTTTCACTAGGCTTGACACACACACGCCGGTGCGAGATCTGTCACCCCTGTTCCGGCCAGAGACTCTTGGCGAGGCCCTGGTTCGACCACGCGGACGTTTCGAGCCACCTGGACTTCAGGGTTCGGGGGGCTACCCGTCTCGAGCCTTAGGACTCTCAATCGGTTCCAGGTGCAACCTAGCTTCTCCTTGGCTACTGGTAAGTACTTAAGAGCGAAGAGAAAGGATAGCAGCCACAGAAATGAGGCCCGTGGCCCTCGCCCTGCAGGTCTGGCTGCGCCTGCCCCTTGCACTGACACTTCTCGGCTTGATCCTGCGCTGGTTGCGGCGGCTTCAAGCAAGCATCCGTGCCTGGGTCTGGAAGCGGTAGGCGTAAGGTTAAGGGCGGGTTTTTTGCACTTGGAGAATCTCGTGCAGCTTGTTTGAGGTTCCTGCTACTGAGCACTGACTTACAACCACCACGATGCTCACTATGCAGCTATATTTTGACCATACGGCCTACACTTTGCAAGCGTACTCGGCAGAAGCTCTCTTTCGGGCGTCCATCTCCGATACCGGCTCTTATTATGTAGTAGTGATGTGATGAAAGCATGCGCCCAGCCGGTCATGGAATGTACAAGCTTTGATCCAAAAGCCTATACTGAGTTGCGGGGCTTAGCTTGGGCTTCTTCGGGAATGCTTGTCGTGGCTCTAATGCTTTCGGATTCGAACGTAGTTTCTTCTCCGCTTATTTATTGATTAATCAATATGCCCGTCTTGTTGCGTGTTTTTCTGAACAAGATTCTGGTTGGCCAGTTGGTCCATGTCAGCATTTGAAGACGTTGGATGAGCAAAGAGACAAATCTGGTGGAAAGTTGTATAGTTGGTATTTACACCACTTCCAGTACATCGTTGAGTTTGGATGGAAGCACAACCGCAGTATTGCTTCGAGTGGAAGACGGAGTGTTGAGTGGTGTGGATCTCGGGGGGTCGCCATATGTATGCATGTGATACCCTGTCCGATTATATGCTACTTGTCGTATAGTATCTCTTATCCTCTGTGGTCTGTTGTTCTGTATTATACACTTTAGTATCACATGCAATATGGTCAAGATGTTCTGTTTTTCCACATTCCATACAATGCGTTGTCTATTGCATAGTGTGTGTGTGTTTTCCTGCACCCAGTATGTATTGTATTTGTGTCTGACAGGTTATAACATGTGCAAAAAGCAATATGTCAGGTGTTAGCCATTGCACATTAGGTACTGTATATGTTATGTTAGATTTCGTAGCTTATTTTACAAGTTGTGTAGTACTACATTGTATCTTTTCTATGTAAATGCATATATGTGTACATATACATCAAGGCATAACCTATACTCTGGACTCGGTTTTATACTTGGTTGTATCATAGTAGAAAGATGTAGAAAGTCTTTATTGTCTAATCTGTTGTATTGTACCCGTTTAAAAGGGAGTCAAAGTGCGCTAGATATTGCACCTTTGACTGTTGCACATATATATATATATATATGTACTAGTTTATGTTTTTATGGCATGTCATATATGATTGTCGTTGTTATGGAAAAATTGCTTCTCATCTATCATAATTGATATGGGGTTAATTATAGTATATTGCTGATAGACAAGACTAGTTCACACTTGTATACACAAATACACATATACAAGGTTGCAGGTTAGGTTATATGGCACTGTTGGAAACGTTGGAAAGTTTCGCTGCTACGCATAAGTGTGGATTATGCAAGCATGCAAAACTACACACGTGCATAGTATATAATAGTGTTTGCAATTTACAGTTTACACAAAGTTTTTGAATCTGATGTGCCCAGTTACACTCTCTACATTTATACATACAAACTACAGTATGACATCATTGCTTTTGGTATTGAACTTTGCACATTGAATTTTGCCTTATTGCATTGGTCTATATTATATGATCTGGTGTTGTGTCGAATATATGGTATTTCATTGAAACATCTTCGGCTGTCCCGATATACCTGCTGTTATATCACATATGTTTATACGTCATTATATTACCTTCGATGTTGCTTATCTAGTTCGAAGCCTATATGTATGTACATGTATATTGAGGTGTGTACATAGCTATATACTTTCTCTACTTTATATACCTTATCATGGTTTCTAGAAAAATTACACAGACAAGATCTAATTACAGACATATGCATGTGTTTCAAAATGTGTATTGTGGTTAGCGTTTATGTTGGGTGCTTGGATTTTTGTGTACTAGGTGTTCTTCCTGTGCTAGATATTGTTCAAGTTTGTTAATTGCAGGCTTATATGCGTGTAGCAGCGTAGACATATATATATATATATACACACTTTTTTGATTAGCATTACTTCTTTTAAAATCGAGATGTACAGGTATTTGTATATACATACATATATTGTATACCTACGCTTGGACACCACACTCACATGCAAAAAACAAACAACAAAATACGCACATACATTTGTACTATATTGTGATTATGTTCGTGACAGTGTTTTTAGATGTTTTGGTATGCTTGGTTCATGTACTGTCGTGGTACTTATATCATTTTATATAGTGTGTTAGCTTGTTTTATTGTATCTTGCATGTCGGCCATTGCTTGACACCTGAATGTCGGGCTCCGGACATGCCGTTGTTCCAATTGTTCTGAGGGCTGTTCCCCGTGTGATCAAGGTGAAAAAACGAGTCGGACACAAGACCACAAAGCTGAATTCATTGTGATATTCGCCATTCGTCAGCAGCATCTGCACGACATCATTTTGTTCTACACTCCTTGTGGCTTGGTGGAAGCTGTCCAAAAGAAGGCCTCCCCAATCGGCCACGTGATGACAGGGAATTGCAGCTTTCCCTACATACCCTGTCTTTGTCTTATGCATGCTGCCTCTGGCCTTCGACAACTACACATGTCTGTAGCAAGATATGTCTTAAGGACGGAATGGTTATAGCAGCGGCTAGCAGTACCACGCTGCGACAGTGCCACAGGGTTACAGGGTCGTATGGAGAGTGTCGAGGCGCTCGCGGCGTGGCTTTCTTCGTGATTGTTTTTGTACCTCCTCCAGTCTCCAACGAAAGCTTCCCCTGGTCAGGCGATTCTCTTGCCCTCATGAACCTGCCAGAGACGGAGTTGGATGAAGAATTGAAGCACAGCCGCTTGAATGACTTCGTTTGCAGGCACTGCTTTCAAGCTTCGGGGTACAAGCTGGATACAAACATCCGGTCTTTAGACTGTCGGAGGTCGCTGTGGCTGCAGGCTGCGCGCTGCAATTACCTGCAGGTGTTCTTGCCGTCTGTCCGGCGCAGAATCGCCAGAAAGCTACAATCTAAACCTACTTAATGTGTTTCTGGAGAATTTATGCCAGTAGATCTCCAAGCAGTGAAACACCAAGCACCACTACGACTATCTACTCAGGCTCGACTCAGGCGACGACGTGCCGCTGCTACTGCCACAGCTGCTGCTACGCGAGCGCCAAGTATTGCTGCTGCTGCTACTACTACTATGTGCGTGACAAAGAACTACTACTACTTCTTCTTCTACTTCTACTACTGCTACCACAGTAGTCAAACACCCGATCGATGGAGCCTTGTTCCTTGTCGTCTTCATCATCTCATACTGTTTTGTCTCTCCTTTGATTGTTTTAACCCTGATGCTTTACGTGGGCTCCATTGTGA